GAGATGATGAGGCTCGCCACAGAGCAGGCCTACTCCTGCAGGGTGGCATCCACCACGTGTCTGTGGCCGATCTGCACGTAAAAACCCAGTAAGCCTTAATCAACCCTGTCAAATCTAGTTTCTGTCTGAAAGCATCAGCTGGGAGCTCATGATGGGTATTTTACTCCAACCTTCATTTAAACAACCACAGACAACGTATATCAATTTTATGACCAAGCTTTTGCAAAAGGAGAAGTCTCAGCAAACTGCTCCTCCGAGCCGTTCACTGAGCGTTCTAAAGACCTTTGGACCAAGGTCTTTAGAGCTTTTTATCAAGCAAAAAGAAGGAGTTTAGGTAAGGAAGACAGCAGAGACAAAATACGACTGCACACAGACAGTTTCTAAAATAGGGAGTATTCCGGTTGATAAGGAGGCACCTGTGGAAACATAATTCGAGGTCTGGGAAACACACAGATAACTGTTTCACATGAAGACGAACAGGCAGATGGGGCCTCCAGGTCAGTTTATACACACATAAGGAAGAGAACACTTAAAACTGAAAATCACAATAATACTGAATGTTAATTAACTATTGATTAACATTAGACTGAATATGAACTAAAGTAATAACAAAATGATAATACCAAAAAATCTCTAACAGCTCACCTTGCATAAAGTCACTATGCAGGGAACGTTTTCCACATCGAGTCTCATGCAGTCGTACGGGTCGTCAGAGAGCTCGATCTCCTTCCCTCCTTCCTCAACGGATGAGATGTGAACTCTGGGAATTCTGTCGGTGAGGAAACCAGAACATGGCTCATTTTCCAACTTATTACTTTTGTTTGTTTGTTTATAGAGGAAATCAGTTTAGATCAAAGCTAATGGAGTAATATGAACTGAACAAACTCACTTAGTGATGAAGAGAGCAGCTTTGATCGCTACTGAGATGGAGTCGTACAAATTCCCATCACACTGAAGAAGCTGAAGAGGAACACAGTAATGTTAGATGTTATCTATTTGGATCAAATGAAAGGTGTTTTAAACAGAAAACATGTTTATGTTTGAACAGGAATTGTTATATTTTACTGTAGGGAAAGGATCTGGAGTTGGTGTGTCAAACTCTGCTATCAGGAAGAAGCAGTAGTGTAACTGAGAGCAGTATGAGACAGATTGTCTGCCTCATACCAA